TTTATACCTTTAAAAAAAATTCTTACCTGAGGATATTTTTCCATTGATTTTCAGATAGAGTGGGAAGGAGGGAGGGAGAGAGAGAGAGAGAAACAACGATGTGAGAGAGACACATCGATTGGTTGCCTCCCTCAGGACCCCAACCAGGACCAGGAATTAAACTGCAACCAAAGTACATGCCTTTGACTGGAGTTGAACCCGTGACTTTTTGGTCCGTGGGCCAACACTCTAACCACTGGAGCCAAAGAAGCCAGAGCTATACTTATATCTTTTTAAGGTGCTTATGGGCACATTGATACAGAATTTTCTAAGTTCAATTTTGTTTAAAATATTTTTTCTATAACCTTGATACTGAAGACTAGCTTCACTGGATAAAAAAAAAAACCTTGGTTCACATTCTTTCCTTGAGTTTCTTAAAAATGCTGCTTTATTGTTGCATTGCTTTGTATGTTGTTTTTTTGGAAAACCTAATTCCAGATTAATTCATTTGTCTTCATAAATTATTTAATCTTTTTGCCTAGAGGCTTTGAGATTATATTTTGTTCTCCTTAATATCTAAGAGATTATTAGGCTATGTCTTAAATTTGATCATTTTGGTTAATTTCCCTAGGAATTCAGTGAAATCTTTCAATATATAGACTGAGGTTTTTAATTTTGGAAAATTTTTGGGTCATTGTTTTAATTTTTTTTTTTTTAATCCTCACCCGAGGACTTTTTTTTTTTTTTTTTTTGCATTTATCTTTAGATAGAGCGGGAGGGAGAGAGGGGAAAAGAGAGAGAGAGAAACATCAATGTGAGAGAGACACATTGACTGGCTGCCACCCACAGGAACCCAACCAGGGCCGAGGACAAACTGCAACCGAGGTATGTGACCTTTGCGGAAACCGAACCCAGGACTCTCTGCTACCCAAGCCAACACTATAATTGCTGTGCAAACTTGGCCAGGGCTAAATTTTGAAATATTATTTCTGTTGCATTGTTTTGTTTTTGTGCCACAGTGATTCCTGTTATACACCTACTATTCCTTCTTTGCTGCCCTTTCAATTCACCCGTTTCTTTCTCATCCTTTTAACTTCTGTCTTTATTTTATTTATTTTCTCAGCTATTTTTCTGCATATTTCAATGCATGTTATTCAATTTCTTGAATGCATTTTCCCTTGGTAACATTTTAATTTATCTTCACTTAAAATTTTGTCTTTTTATTCTATTTATTTTTTTAGTTCAACTTTCTCTTTGTTTTTTTCTTGAAAGTCTGAATCAAGATAATTTTTTCATACCTCCAAATATTTGTTTGCATGTATTTAATTTACTTTGGAGTGTTGTCTTGCAGTTTTTTATGGTTCATAGTTGTTTTCTGAAATGGAATGCTTTATCAGTTCAAGTGTGTGAAATCTTGTTCTCTGATTTTTTTGGTAATAACTCTGTATAGATTTACTGAGAAGGTTTATAGTCTTTTTCTTGTGGATTCGTGATGGTTTATAATATTTCTAGGTTAAAGGCACACTGTCTTCTGCCAATGTGTAGTAGTCCAGAGTCTTTATTATTATTCTTTTTATTACTTAATTAATTTTTTATTTGATTTATTAATTTTTGTTAAAGATGTTTCTCATTTTCCCCCCATTGACACCCTCCTCCCCTTCCCCCCTACCCCATCCCCAGCTTAATTGTCTATGTTCGTTGGTCATGCATACATGCATGCAAGTTCTGAGGTTTATTGCTCCCCCCAGCTCCCCTCCTCTGAGGCTTCTCAGTCTGTACCCCACCTCTATGTCTCTGGGTTACTTTTGTTCGTCACTTTGTTTAGTTCACTATATTCCACAAATAAGTGAGATTATGTGATATTTGTCTTTCTCTGCTTGGCTTGTTTCACTTAGAATAATACTCTCCAGGTCCTTCCACGCCATCTCAAAGAATAAGAGATCTTTCTTTCTTACAGCTGCATAGTATTCCATTGTGTATATGTACCACAGCTTTTTAATCCACTCATCTACTGATGGACATTTGGGTTGTTCCAGATCTTAGCTATTGTAAATTGTGCTGCTATGAACATAAGGGTACATATATTCTTTCTGATTGGTGTTTCAGGTTTCTTGGGGTATATTACTAGAAGTGGGATCACAGGGTCAAATGGAAGTTTAATTTTTAACTTTTTGAGGTAACACTTTAGTGTTTTCCAAAATGGCTGCACCAGTCTGCATTTCCACCAGGAGTGCACTAAAGTCCCCTTTTCTTCACACCTTTGCCAACACTTGTTGTTTGATGATTTGTTGATAGCGGCCATTCTGACAGGTGTGAGGTAATACGTCATTGTTGTTTTAATTTGCATCTCTCTGATAATTAGTGACGTCAAGCATTTCTTCATGTGTCTCTTTGCCATTTGTATGTTCTTTTTGGAGAGGTGTCACTTTAAATCCTCTGCCAATTTTTTTAAATAAAAAAAGAATAATCTTTTAATTTATTATTGTTTAAAATTAATTAATTAATTAATTAATTTTGATTACAGATGTTTCTCCTATTTCCCCCACTGATTCCCCCCACCCCTTCCCTCCCCACACTGTCCCCAGCTTTGTTGTCCATGTCCATTGTTCATGCATACATGCATATAAGTTCTCTGGTTTATCTATCCCCCACCACCCCCTCTTCTGGGATTGTCAGCCTGTACCCCACTTCCACGTATCTGGGACTACTCCCTTCCTCAGACTGTTATGTTCATTATATTCCACAAATAAGTGAGATCATATGATACTTGTCTTTCTCTGTTTGGCTTCTTTGGTTAGGATAATACTTTCCAGGTGCCTTCATGTTGTCTCAAAGGATAAGAGATCTTTTTTTTCTTACAGCTGCATAGTACTCCATTGTGTATATGTACCACTGCTTTTTTATCCATTCGTCTATTGATGGACACTTGGGCTGTTTCCAGATCTTAGCTATTGTAAATAGTGCTGCTACGAACATGGGGGTACATATATTCTTTCTGATTGGTGTTTAAGGCTTGGTGTTTAGGGAATATTCCTAGAAGTAGGATCACTGGGTCAAATGGAAGTTCAATTTTTAATTTTTTGAGGTAACACCATAGTTTTTTATAGGGCTGCACCAGTCTGCATTCCCACCAGCAGTGTACTAGAGTCCCCTTTTCTCCACACCCTCGCGAACACTTGTTATTTGATGATTTGTTGATGGCGGCCATTCTGACAACTGTGAGGTGATACCTCATTGTTGCTTTAATTTGCATCTCTCTGATAATTAGTGATGTTGAGCATTTCTTCATATGTCTCTTAGCCATTTGTATGTTCTGTTTGGAGAGGTGTCTATTTAGTTCCTCTGCCTATTTTTTAATTTGGTTCTTTGTCTTCCTTTTGTTTAGTTGTATGAGCACTCTACATATATTGGAAATTACCCCTTATCTAATATATCATTGGCATTTATGCTTTCCCATACAGTGGGTAGCCTTTTCGTTTTGATGAGTGTATCTTTTGCTGCGCAGAAGCTTTTGAGTTTGATGTAGTCCCATGTGTTCATTTTCTCCTTTGTTTCTATGGCCTTAGGTGATGTATCAGTGAAAACTCTGCTGCGTATGATGTCTGAAATTTTGTTGCCTACAGTTTCTTCTAGGATTTTTATGGATTCATGGGTCACATTTAAGTCTTTTATCCATTTTGAGTTTATTCTTGTATATGGTATAAGTTCATGGTCTAGTTTCATTTTTCTGCATGTAGCTGTCCAATTTTCCCAGCACCATTTATTAAAGAGGCTGTCCTTACTCCACTGTATGCTCTTGCCACCTTTGTCAAATATTAATTGAACATATTGCCTTGGGTCCATTTCTGGGTTCTCTGTTCTTTTCCAATGGTCTGCATGCCTGTTCTTGTGCCAGTACCAGGCTGTTTTGATTACAGTGGCTTTGTAGTATAACCGGAATTCTGGTCATGTGATCCCTCCAACTTTGTTCTTCTTTTTCAAGATTACTGTGGCTATTCGAGGTCTTTTTTGGTTACATATAAACTTTTGAAATACTTGTTCTAAATCTGTGAAGTATGCTGTTGGTATTTTGATGGGGATTGCATTGAATCTATAGATTGCTTTGGGTAATATGGACATTTTAATGATGTTAATTCTTCCAATTCATGAACAGGGTATGTGCTTCCACTTTTTTATATCTTCCTTCATTTTTTTTTTAAAATGACCTGTAGTTTTCTGTGAATAAGTCCTTTATTTCTTTGGTTAGGTTTATTCCTAGGTATCTTAATTTTTTTGCCGCAATTGTAAATGGGATTGTTTTCTTAGTTTCTCTTTCTGTGAATTCATTGGTGTACAAGAATGCCATTGATTTCTTGATGTTAATTTTGTATCATTCTACTTTTTCCAAATTCATTTATTAAGTGTAGTATATTTTTGATCAAGTCTTTTGGGTTTTCTACATATAGTATTATGTCATCTGCAAATAATGACAGTTTCACTTCCTCCTTTCCAATTTGGATCCCTTTTATTTTTTCTTCCTGTCTGATTGCTGTGGCTAAGACTTCCAGTACAATGTTAAATAAGAGTGACGAAAGTGGGCATCCTTGCCTTGTTCCTGTTCTTAAGGAAAATGCTTTTAGTTTTGCCCATTGAGTATGATGTTGGTTATAGGTCTTTCATATATGGCCTTTATTATGTCAAGATATGATCCCTCTATTCCCACATTGATGAGTGTTTTTTATCAGAAATGGATGCTGGATTTTGTCGAAGGCTTTTTCGGCATTCATAGACATGATCATGTGGTTTATATTCTTCATTTTATTTTATTTTTATATTTACTTTTTTTTTTTCAAGTTCACTTACAGAAAGCTCATTTATATGGAAAAACTTCAATCTCCAATGATAATACATAAATAGGTTGTCACTATTACCCAATTGCTGGAATTTTCTCATTTATATATAATTTAATTTTTAACAAGCACACAAGCACAATAACATTATGTAAATTTATACATTACTTTAGATTAGTATATGAGAACTGTTTAATTAAAACTCAGTAATATTCCAGCAAAACGTAATGTACTTGAAGACTGTAACGAGTTTAAAAAGCCAATGACCCAACCTTTATTGTCAATGAAGATATATCCATCAAAGTAATCTCTAAGAAGAAGAGTGTCATCAGGATTTCTAAAATTAATGTATGCCCTTGAGTAGCGATGAGGATAAAGAAGAGAGTGCAGGTAGTTAAAAAGGTGGGACCAGGAGCCCTGGTTGGTGTGGTTCAGTGGTTAGAGCCTCAGTCTGCAGACTGAAGGGTTGCAGGTTCCATACCTGGTCAAGGGCACGTACTTGTGTTGCAGGTTTGATCCCTGGCCCGGTCAGGGTCCTGTGGGAAGCATCCAGCCGATGTCTCTCTCTCACATCAATGTTTCTCTCTCTTTCTCCTCTCCCCCTTCCTCTCTCTCTGAGATTCCCAGTAAAGAACTCAAAATAATCGTGTGCAGATAGTGGGTGTAGCTGCTCTTCCAGCTGCTCCTTGGTGAGACTGGGAGGAAGGCGCCGGATTACCACCTTGCTCAGGACTGTCCTCTTCTCCTCCGGAGGTGTGCCCGCGCTGCCTCCACAGCTGGAGGACAAGGCCATTGGCGCCACTGCCTCTCGCCGGGGTGACTCCCGGCAGACCTGAACTTCCACAGCGGACGTCCTCTCCCTTCTGCTCTGGCTCTTCGCAACAATGGCCACCTCCGGGCCTCTGGGCCCCTCCTTTTCCAAGCGCATCCCGCACCTGCCGGGGCTCTATTGCCGTCTCCCGCCTGGGCCTAAACTTCACGAGCTCTTCATTTTGTTTATGTGGTGTATCACGTTTATTGATTTGCAAATATTGTGCTAGCCTTGCATCCCTGGGATGAATCCCACTTGGTCATGGTGGATAATTATTTTTGGTGTATCGCTGGATCCGATTTGCTAGTATTTTGTTCAGGATTTTGGCGTCTATGTTCATCAGGGATATCCGCCTGTAGTTTTTTTTTTTTCTTTGTAGTGTCTTTTTCTGGTTTACGAATTAGAATTATGCTGGCTTCATAAAACGAGTTTGGAAGTCTTTCTTCTTCTTGAATTTTTTGAAATAGTTTGAGGAGAATGGGTGTTATTTCTTCTTTGAATATTTGGTAAAACTCCCCCCTGAAGCCATCTGGGCCTGGGCTTTTGTTTACTGGGAGAGTCTTGATTACATCTTCAATTTCTTCTGTTGTTATTGGTCTGTTCAAGTTTTCTATCTCTTCCTGATCCAGTTTTGGGAGACTATGTGTTTCTAGAAATTTGTCCATATCGCTTAGGTTGTCGAATTTGTTGCCACATAATTGTTCATAGTAGTTGTTAACGATCTTCTGTATATCTATGGTGTCAGTTGTTACTTCTCTTTCATTTCTGATTTTGTGTATTTGGGTTCTCTCTCTTTGTTTCTTGGTGAGTCTAGCTAAGGGTCCATCAATCTTGTTTATCTTTTCAAAAAACCAGCTCTTTGTTTCATTGATCCTTTGAATTGTGTTTTTGGTCTCTATGTCGTTTATTTCTGCTCTGATCTTTACTATTTCCTTCCTTCTACTTGCTCTGGGGTTTTCTTTTTGTTTGCTCTATACTTCTCTAAGTTGTGAGGTTAGATAGTCTATTAGAGATTTCTCTTGTCTCTTGAGGTAGGCCTGTAGTGCTATGAACTTCCCTCTCAGTACTGCTTTCGCTGCATCCCATAGATTTTGTGTTGTTGTGTCTTCATTTTCATTGGTTTCCATGAGGTTTTTAATTTCTTACTTGATCTCCTCAGTAACCCATTCATTGTTTAATAACATGCTATTTAGCTTCCATGAGTTCAAATGTCTTTGTATGTTCTTCTTGCAGTTGATTTCTAGTTTCATGCCATTGTGATCTGAGAAGATGCTTGATATGATTTCAATCTTCTTGAACTTGTGGAGACTTAGTGTGTGCCGTAACATGTGGTCTATCTTTGAGAATGTCCCATGTGCACTTGAGAAGAATGTGAATTCTGTAGTTTTGGGGTGTAATTCTCTGTAGATATCTAGTAAATCCATTTGGTCTAGTGCTTCCTTTAGAGTCTCTGTTTCTTTGCTAATTTTTTGTCTAGAGGATCTATCCAGTGATGTCAGTGGGGTGTTGAATTCCCTTGCTATGATTGTATTGCTATCAATTTCTCCTTGAAGTCCTCCAGAAGATTTTTTAATATATTTTGGTGCTCCTATATTAGATGCATATATGTTTATCAAGGTTATATCTTCCTGTTGGATAGATCCTTTCAGTATTATGTAGTGGCCTTCTTTGTGTCTAGTTATGGCCTTCATTTTGAAATCTATTTTATCAGATATGAGTATTGCTACCCCAGCTTTTTTTTTTTTTTCTTTTCGTTTGCTTGGAAGATTTTTTTTCATTCCTTCACTTTCAATCTATGTGAGTCTTTTGTTGTGAGGTGGGTCTCTTGTAAACAATATATAGATGAGTCATGCTTTCTTATCCAATCAGCTACTTTGTGTCTTTTTATGGGAGCATTCAATCCATTTACATTTAAGGCGGTAATTGATATGTACTTATTTATTGCCATTTTTGATTTTGTGTGGTTCTATTTTTCTTTCCATTTCTCCTGCTAATTACAGCAGTCCTTTTACCATTTCTTGCAGTGCTGGTTTGGTGCTCATGTATTACTTTAGCCTTTTTTTTTTGTCTGGGAAGCGCTTTATTTGACCTTCTATTTCGAATGATAGCCTTGCTGGGTAGAGTGTTCTTGGATTCAGATCCTTGTTTTTCATGACCTTGATTACTTCATGCCATTCCCTTCTAGCCTGTAGTGTTTCTTGTGAGAAGTCAACTTAGAGACTTATGGGGTTTCCTTTGTAGGTAGCCTGTTGCTTATCTCTTGCTTTTAGGATTCTTTCTTTGTCTTTAATTTTTGGGAGTTTAATTTCTATGTGTCTTGGTGTGAGCCTGTTTGGGTTCTTCTTACTTGGGGCTCTCTGTGCTTCTTGTACTTAAATGGCTTCTTCCTTCACCAAGTTAGGGAAGTTTTCTGTCACTTCCCTAACAGAATATATTCTCTATCCCTTGCTCATTTTCTTCTTCTTTGGGGACTCCTATGATGCGAATATTATTACTTTTCCAGTTGTCCCATAGTTCTCTGAAGCTGTCTTCCTGTTTTTTTAAACCATTTTTCCTTTTGTTTTTCTGATTGGTTGATTTTTTTTACCCTGTCTTCTAATTTACTGATTCGGTCCTCAGCTTCCTCTCCTCTTCTCTTTAGACCTTCCAATGTTTCCTTTATTTCTGCTATGTCACTCTTGATGTCTTCTTTGTGGTTTTTAATTTCCATTCGGTTTATTTTCAGCATCTCTATGTCTTTTCTCATGCTGTTGAGCTTTCTCAAGATCATGGCTCTGAATTTTAGCTCTGTTAACTTGCTTAACTGCTCCACATTGATCTCATCTTCGGTGGAGGTCTCTTGTTCTTTCATTTGGCTTTTGTTTCTGTATTTCACCATTTTGGCTATCACAGTGGGCTTTGGAGGCTGCCAAGTTTTCCCTGTGGATGTTGGTGTTCTGCTGTTTGTGGCTCTGTCTCCTGGGTTTAGATGAGCGAGGGAGGACCCATGTTAAACACCACTGTCAAGTCTTCCTGTCCTGGTTAGAGCTGCTAGCTCAGGAATGGTACTGTTATCCTCTAGCTTTTTGCCTGGAGGCTAGTAGTTCATGTTACTTGAGTTTAGGGTTGTTAGTTGGTTGAAAAACTCCCTCAGGTGCTCAGAGTAAGGGGATTTTCCGAGGGTGGGGCAGATGCTGGTTGTTAATGGGCCTTTATTAGCATTTCAATGGCCCGCAGGGTGGGGTTGAATATCGAAGGGAGGGGCCGCTGCCTATCCCCAGAGCCCTGGGAAGGAGCAATATGGCCACAGTTCTGTGTGGCTGCAACTCAGCAAAAGCTCTGAGCACCCCCCAAATCCCGAGTGTCCCCACTGAGTTCCAGTCCAGTCTGCCCTTCCTTTGTTGGAGCCCAAGGTGAGTGGTTGTGCCTATTTTAGCCTGTGTTCTGGCTCTGCACTGTGGAGCCGCTTGGGAGTTTAACGTGAGCGCACTGCTCACAGCTAAGGCTGTTGTGGAGCTGCCAACAGTGGGCTCCCAGCCCCCGTCTCATGCCTTCGAAATCCTACCAGGATGGATTCAGTGTCCCTGGTTATATGGTCCTTGCAAGCTGCTTTTCTGGTGCTTTTCCCTGTCAATTTGTCTGTGTTTTAGTTGTAATTCCAGTTTGGTTCTTGGAGACGGTCTGTGTAGTTTCCATTTATTCCGTACCATTTTGGAATCTCCTTGCCATTTATTTGTTCACGTTAATTTTGTATCCTGCTACTTTGCCAAATTCATTTATTAAGTCTTGTAGATTTTTTAATGGAGTTTTTATAGTTTTCTATGTACAATATCATGTCATTTGCAAATAATGACAGTTTCACTTCCTCCTTTTCAATTTGGATCTCTCTTATTTTTTCTTCATGTTTAATTACTGTGTCTAAGACTTTCAGTACTATGTTAAACAAGAGTGGTGAAATGGGCATCCCTGTCTTGTTCCCATTCTTAAGGGGAATGCTTCAATTTTGCCCACTGAGTATGATGTTGGCTGTAGGTTTTCCATATTTGGCCTTTATTATGTTGATATATAATCCTTCTATTCCCAGATTGCTGAGCATTTTTATCAGAAATGGATGCTGGATATTGTCAAAAGCTTTTTCATCATATATTGATATAATCATATGTTTTTTATATTTTCTTTTGTTTATGTGGTGTATGACCTCTATGCATTTGCAAATATTGCACCATTCTTGCATGCCTGGCATGAAACCCACTTGATCATGAAGAATAATTTTTTTGATGTGTTGCTGGATACGACTTGCTAATATTTTGTTAAAGATTTTGGCATTTGTGTTCATCAGGATTATTGCCCTGTAGTTTTCTTTCTTTGTAGTGTCTTTATCTGGTTTTTGAATTAGGATTATACTGGCCTCGTAAATGAGTTTGGAATTGTTCCATCTTGTTGGATTTTTTTTTCGAATAGTTTGAGGAGAATGGATATTAGATTTTCTTTAAATATTTGGTAAAAGTTCCCTGTGAAGCCATCTGGGCCTGGGCTTTTGTTTGCTGGGAGTTTCTTAATTACACCTTCAATATCCTTTGTTGTTATTGGTTTGTTCAACTTTTCTGTCTCTTTCTGGTTCAGTTTTGAGAGGCTGTGTGTTTCTAGAACTTTGTCCATATCTCCTAGATTGTCCAACTTGTTGGCATATAATTTTTTATAGTATGTTTCGATGATCCTTTATATTTTATGGTGTCAGTTTTTACTTCTCCTTTTTCATTTCTGATTTTGTTTATTTGACTTCTCCCTTTTTGTTTCTCAGTGAGTCTGGCTCAAGGTCCATTGGTCTTTTTTATCTTTTCAAAGAACCAGCTTTTTGTTTCTTTGATTTTTTGAATGGTTTTTTTTAGTCTCTGTGTCATTTATTTCTGCTCTGACCTTTACTATTTCCTTCTTTCTACTAGCTCTGGGTTTTTCTTTTTGTTTACTTTTCTAGTTCTTTAAGTTGTAGGGTTAGAAAGTCAATCAGGAATTTTTCTTGTTTTTTGAGGCAGGCCTGTAGTGTCATAAAGTTCCCTCTCAGGACTGCTTTCGCTGTGTCCCATAGATTTTGTGTTCGTTTTCATTGGTTTCCAGGAAGTTTTTAATTTCTTTCTTGA